TGTGGTGCGGACACACTCACAGGGAGAGAGAGAGAGAGAGAGAGAGAGAGAGAGAGAGAACCTCCTCAGGTTGAGATAAAACGTGTCCTTCTGGTCCAGTGATGCCGAAAGTGAGAAGCTTCTTCTGTTCCTGAAACACGACAGATCAGAGCAGTTTAAACACAATATAACATATATTTAAAAATAAATAGAAATGAACTGACAGTGCGAGTTCATCTGATTGGTCAGAATGTTATTACCTCATCGATGATGTCACCATTTTCTGCATGGACCTGGGCAATGGCTCCAAGATCTCGGAGGACTCCGAACGCCTCGTAGAGCTGAAACCATGACAGAGGAAGATTCCGTCACATCAAGTAAACAACAACAAACAATTATATTATTATAATTATTAATACAATATTTTACCATAGACTATACTCTAATTAAAAATGTATTCAATAAAGATATCAAGTCTTAATCCACCTGAGAGTCGGAGCTGTGATATTTATCTTTATACGCCATGAAGAAGAGGAAGGAGTTCACACCTGCAACACAAATACACAACAGTAAACACACAACAGTAAATACATAACTGTACTAGTTCATTTAAGTTACCTCTGCCAAGGAGGTTATGTTTTCACCTTACGTTGTTTCTTCAACTAGTCAGTCAGTCAGTCAGTTAGAGTAAGAGTTGCCCTGAGAGGAAGGGTCAACGTCAAACTTTATAATATTTGTATAGAACATAAACTCAGTGTGTTAAGTTAGATAGTTAAGATAGTTTGTGTTGTTAATTAAATGAGTTCGATTTTTTCATCTTCCAGGTCATGTGATCTAATCCTCATGTTTTTCTAGTTGTGACTAAGAGTTGGTCAGTAAATGTCTGACTCATTAACCCATTAACTCTCTGACCTTTATCTTTGACGAGCGTCTCTAACTCCTCATAAAGTCCATCGTGCCAGCGAGTGATGTCCAGGTGAAGAGAGAAGTCACAACACGTCCTCTGCTCTGCCGTCTCCTTCCACTGATCAAACGCTGATAGTAAACTAGTGCCCGGCTCCACCAGCACATGGTCGACTGTGAACACAAACATCTGACTGTAGTAGAATCAATCAGTATTGATCAGTATTAATCAATACGTGCCTTGAGATAATGTTCATTATGGTTTGGAGCTATACAAACAAATTAAAATTGAATACTGATAACTGACTGATCGTGGTGGTTCCCCCGGATAATGCGGCTTTAGTTCCCTGGTAGAAGTCATCAGTCGGGTTCAGGCCTTTCTGTGGAGCGAGCAGATTGGTGTTGGCGTCAACACCTCCGGGGATCACCAGCTGACCGTACGCATCCACCGTCCTCACGTCAGACGGGACAATCAGGTTCTCACCGATCTGTCTGATCAGGACACAGGAAGTGATGTCAGAGTCGGATCACAGCCACACATCCATCAATTTAATTATTATTGATATGAAAACAGTTTACTTGATGGTTCCCTCCTCCACATAGACGTCAGCGTAGAATGACTGGTCGTCATTGACAACCTTTCCTCCTTTGATGATCAAACGGTCGCCCTAAAAATCACAAAGGATTCTGGGTTAAAAGAGATCAGCGGTTCCCGAATATTACAAAGATAAAACAGCTG